AACATTTGGACTCTTGTAGCTTGTAGTAATTAGCAACTGGAGACTAACCCTTCAAATATAGTAGTTCTTATAAAGAACCATCGCATGTTACAGCTGTGCCTCAATGCAAGATTTCAGTAGCAGATGAAAAAGGTCACAATCTATCAAAGTGACATACAGATTAAAATTCTACCTCCTGTTGCATAGATAGAGGGGACCCAGACAAATCAAATTTCCATTTTTCTTTTTCTTCACCTGCCCTATAATAATAAAACAAAGTAGACTATGATGTTGCAGTGAAGCAAGATTGGCTTCAATTTGTTTTAGAATATGGATGTAAATGTTATTACATATGAGAAAATTGCAGGAGTGTCAGATTTACTCGTTGTAAAGACAGCTTGAACAGAACCCTGATGGATCTATAAGGCTTCTGCAGCTTCCATAATTTTATCGAACTGCAGATCCCATGCTTGTCCTTGGTGCTGTATTTCTGTAACTCTTAGAGAGGTTTAAATGTTTTAATGTGATTTCCCAGTTAAGCCGTTTCGTGTTGTGTTGAACAGGCACCAAAGAAGTCAGGTTTCAAAGAAAAACTCTTGTGTTGTGTGGTTATGTTTATTCCACAGTATTTGAAGAATATAGTGCGGGGGCAACATTTACCAGGCCTTAAATCCATTTCACCTCATTTGCTCATAAATACATGTAGTCACTTTGAAAACTAGTTGAATCTACAACATAATAGTTAAAGGATTTACAAAAAAACTGCTGGGATATTTTAGTACTAATTTATATAAGCAAAGTCTGTAAAATAGTGTGGAATGACCTTTTAGCTGCATTTCATCTTAAGGATTTCCCTTTCCACTTCTGCTCAATCAATGCTGCAGTTTAAGGTGTTCATGAATGGCACCTGCTCAGTTACCGCATGGAGGATTTTATGGTTTGTCTTGTAGTCAAGGTTAGAGGTTATTCAATCTTCATCTTTTCACTTGTAGAAGAATTGCAGGTCCAAGTATGTTTTTGAAAGCCTCTAGTCGAAGGGACTTTTTAAGATGTGTTTGAAAAGCAATTGGAGAGCTTTGGTTAGACTACCTGCTACCTATGGCTAGCCTTGGAAGGCTGTTTTAGGCACGTGACCTTGGAGAATGTTACTAAATGTTACTCATATAAACTAGAGGCTTTATTTAATAACATAGTGCAAGAAGCAGTCATGGGTGTTAATACATTTGCAATTAACCAGAGGTCATCTATATTTGTCTGCAGAAATTCAAAATAGTATTTGTTACTATACATCACTCTACATCATCTTTCTTTGCACTGTGTGATAAAATAAAGTTTGGAAATGCCATTCTGATAATTATGAGGGAAACAGCTTTCCAAGGGTACCAGAATCGGGTTATATTTTGTATACATTTTTGTTAGGGATGACAGCCAGGGGCTTGTTATTAAACTGGTGATGCACTTAACCAACAATATTACATATGCATAACATCAGGCACCATAGAGAACATCACGGAATGCCTGGGAGTTGAGACCAGATAACAATTGGCAAAGAGAGGAAAGTGCAGTTTTTCCCAGAGAAAGGATCAGCAAACTGCAGCTATTTTGCTGTGTGAAGGCAATATTACAGTTTGAACAATGCAGAGTAATGGGGTCAGCTGCACTCCCCATCCTCAGCAGTAGCAGGCCCCTCACCCTGCTGTTTATATTTATTTAGAGGATTAAGATTTGACCTTTTAGATATTCACACCTTTCACAGAGAATTGTTATATGTGAATGGTTACGATGCAATGCCAAGATTCAGATGCATGTGGTTCTGCATTAGAAATGTAAAAGAATGAAGCGCGTGTGTGTGTATTACCACATGACAGGGTCAAATTTTAATTTAGTTTGAAAAATAACTTTGATATCATTTCACATAATGCCTCATTCTGGTCATCCTAAAAGAGAAGGCAGCAGCAGCTTGGCTGATGACGTTTGCATAATCCTGAAGGATTGCTGTCTGTCTATGGTTACTCTGATGTATGATAGGGAAATAATTATTTCCATTAATCATATACTGCAATCATTTGTCCATAGTCAGTGTGAGGGAAGGGATAGTCTTTTACTTTTTTTTTTTTTGTATTTTATCCCTGGACATGATATGCTGCTTCAACAGTGTTGAAGATACAATATGCTGCAGTTAAACTGATTCAGTTAGTGTACGAATGTGTGAGACACACCTTTTTTGCACTTATGTACATAGTCCAAGAATGGAAAAAAATATAAAAATGTAAAAAAATGAACTTGGAACATATTTTGAATATAAAAGTCCATAAAAAAAACACAGGAAAAGTTTGAAAAGAGATAGGTATAAATAAGGCTTTGAAGAGAAGGCATTTTGCTATAAAAACTTTAAAAAAAAAATCAAAAAGCATGTTTTTGCTTTGCTGTTGCAAAAGCTTTGTAGGTTGCCATAGCTTAATATGCAGCGCCCAGTAAACTCCAATTTGCAGCACAAAACATGCTGTGAAAATGATATTCTTATTATGGAGAATAAAGCAAATTAGTGTTGTCAAGTGCTGTCTGCTTAAGTCATAGCTTTGATCTTCAGTGTTAAAAAACAACCCAAAACAAAACTTGTTCTATTCAAAAAATATCAAATGTTATCCAAGAGGTTTTATTTAAAGTAGAAATCAAGGAAAATATCATACAATGGAGTAAAAATTTATATAAGTGAACAATTTTACCTGCCACAGGATTATTAGTTCTGTTTTATGAGTCTTGTAATTCATAAATCTCTTCACACTGCACGTCCAAATGACTTTGGGGTTCCCTTGTTAAGCAGTACAGCTTCTTGCATCTACTATCTGCTTATTGGACAATAAAATAGCAGTTTGAATATGCCAACACATCGCCCAGTGACACAGGAAGCTAAAAAGCTGTAGCTCGAAGTAGTAGTGTCACTTTACTCACTTTTCCATGTGGAAGGGTGTGTGAATCACAAGGCTCACTGAACAGAGCAGCAATCTTTTGGTAGATAAAACAGTTCACATAGATATGTATGCCAGCGAGTGTGTAGTACCAGTTTAATAAACACAGTTTTATACATTATAATATATATTTTAGTCACCTTATGTAAAAAAAAAAGGTAATTTGCAAGTCTTGTTAAAGTGACACTAAAGTCAGGAGTTAAACCTTAAAATCCATTCAAGTACCTTAACTAATAACAAAATTGTATCTTATTTGTGTACCACTTGGCTGTAGATCCTCAAATCATCTCTGAATTGGTGCTGACACTGTCCTTCATTCTGGAGGGTGGCTACTTTTGTTCCCCGTGGTTCCTGTGTGTGTGTGTTGTAAAGTAGTCACTCTAAACTAAGTGTGAGATCGTAGTGCATCATGGGAGCAAGCTTGGTGTGCTAGCTACATTACAACACACACAGGGACCATGGGGAACACAAGTAAGCACCCTCCAGAAGGACTGTGTCGGCACCAATTCAGAGATGATTGGGGGATCTACAGCCGAGTGATACACAAATAAGATAAATCTTTGTTAAATAAGGTATTTGAATGCATTTTTAAGGTTTAACTCCTGAGTTTAGTGTCACTTTAATCTATGTGCATTTGCTAATGTTATCATTCGCAGGGGGTGTTCTAGAACAGAAGACCAATTATTTTTTCAAGAATCTGAAAAAAGTTTTCTCAACATTTTTTGCATCACGAGGAGGAGCTCAGAACCATTATTATCCATTCTGAGATAAGTGAATAGTACCCTCTAGAACAGGGGTAGGCAACCTAGGCACCCTAGCTGCGATAAACTACAAAATGTATCATGTATCTGCCTCTGGGAGTCATGTTTGTGGCTGTCCATAAGAGTTTTGCAAGGTTTTGTAGTAGCTCCACAACTGGAGGGCCAGAGATTGCCTACCCCTGCTCTAAAGAATAAAGTACAATGGGGAGAATTTATCAAAACTGGAGCAGCTGTGCATGTCAACCAATCAGCTTCTCTCTTCAGTTTGTTCAGTTAAGGTTTGAAAATGAAAGAGAGATGCTGATTGGTTCCCATGCACGGCTGCTCCAGATTCCCCCCAATGTATTTCCAGTCTTGCACCAATATTGAAGTTACCTACGCTTTGCAATAGCCCAAGATCTCTGCTGTGTATTACATTCTAGACAGCTCCGTCTCCATAATAAGGAAATGTTTTCACTGTATGTTTGTTCCAGAAAGTGAAAGAGCAGACAAGTGAAGACCGTTGGTAAGCCTTTGATCAATGCTGCTGTATTATCAATAAAAAGAAATGGAATTTGCTTGAACATTGTAAATCTAAACATCAAATTTTTCATCTTTTATATATTTGTAGTGCTTTTTTTTCTCCTACCAATAGACCTAATGGCCAGACAAATGTGTTTAATTGGATAGAAAATACATTTTACTCATCAGACAGTCTTTGAAATAACATGCAGACATGTTTGTCACAAACAAAGCAATGTTTTCTCGTTGCTTACAATATGAGAGTTGGATACTTGATTTTTATAGAAACGTAGCTATAAGTGGCATCACTTACACGTCTCAGCTAAATATTGTGCCTATCAGTCTAGCTAGACACTTCCCAATCCATCCACACGCAGCTAGGAGCATCCACGTCAATGAGCACTACAAAATCTATGCAAATTTGTTTTTCTTTTTTTTTAAATGTATTTGGTTATCATATTTTTTTCTCTTTATCCCTTCTTCAACACTACATGGCACTTAATTTCCTGATTTTAAAAATAGATTTACATGGGATCAAGCCTTTTTCTTGTAATAGAAAAAGTATTTATATTTTGCAGTAGCACCAGACTGCATTGACTCCCACATCACGTGACAATCGTATTGCACTATTTTAAATGTATGCATTTAAGGCGGCCCATCTCCCTTGTCTAGCGGTCTTCACTGCTCCTCTTTTCACAGTTAAAATGATGTCCTATTTTGTTTTGGAAATTGCAGAAACCACATGTATGTGACAGTACAGCTTCATTTAACTTTGTCCTTTTTTGTTTTTTCACACAAACACAACAATAACAGAATGAAATAACCTGAAATTCTACTGCACACAGGAAACAGCTCTAACAAACGGAAGGGAGCCATTTTGTTGCCATGGCTCTTCATAGTCTAGCAGATGAGGGGATGAGTATAAAGGTGAACACATAGCAGATGAGGGGATGAGTATAAAGGTAAACACATACTCCATGTTTCAGTAGATGATACATTACAGTACATGTGAATGCAGAGAATAATTCTTGTGATCCAAGAGACAACATAATGGTTGTTGATTCCTGTTCTAAAATTAAGAAAGTGTTGGAGTTCTGTGGTTCTAAATGGAAGGTGGCTTCCAAGACTTTGACAGCATACAAGCCCACCAAGCCCATGTTTTCCTAGAAGTGCACACAGGTTGACACCTGTAGTTGCTTATGGCAACAATGTCTGCTTGAATTAGATTCTTAAAGAGGAACTTTAGGCAAATATAAAAGACTCAGATAATTGCAGTTCTGTATTTATAAATACATCATGAAATGTATTTTTGAATATGTCTAGTACCCAAATGTAATTAGGTATCAGCCTCATTCATCCATTGTACAGCACAGATCAGTCTGGGAGAGGGATGGGCAGGAGAGGGAGTCAATCATTTGTTTCATGAAAATGTGTTGGTAGGGCACATGTTAACAGGAGAAGGAGCAGACTGAACAGTCTGCTACTGCTCTTTCAGTGCCCATTCAAAAGGTTGGAGGTGAAGAAAGGAAACCACTCTGTTCTTTAACTGTAACAGCGAAAGTGGTGTCATCCATCCAGAGCTATGTAAATCTCAGAACTGGATGGACAAAGTAAACTCTTTTAGCAATTAACACTGCTCCAAATATCTATTTAATCTGTAAATGTATCTATTTGCCTTAAATGTAAGGGATCTATGAGATATTTGTCCAATAGGATTTTAGAGCCTTTGGGGGTGATTTACTAACCTAAGCACACGCACGCACTAGGTGCGTGTGATTTTTACACAGCAAAACGTATTTATCAACCAAAAAGTATCTAAAAGCATATTTCCACTAATGCCATATATGGAAAAATCATGCACATGATGCATATATAATGCTGCTTCACAGTTTAGACAAAAATGGTTAGCTCATGCATTTACATTCCTGCATTCATCAACGCAAGCAACACAACGTAGAGCTAATGTACACAACATCACCTTGCAAATTCATGCAGGGCTTTGCACAACACACCTGCTGGGTGTGTACACACTACAAAGGTGTTTAGATTCCACCCATAGATAATGCTGGGAGGGAACACACTACAGAGGTGTATACATGTTCGTGGTGTGTTTTTATAAGGTTAGTAAATCAACCCCTTTATGTCAGTTCACGTTATGTGGCTTGAGTAATTGCAGCAGATACCTTCAGAATACCCAGACCAGAAAAATACATTGAGTGGGTCAAATGTCTGTGAAGGAGTTTAGCATTTTCATGCTGGGGTCCCACTGTAAGTTTGGCATTATGTTGGGACCTTTAAAGGACATGGTTCCAAGGAGAACCTAATTGAACGAATGCCATAGCTTCTATGTTAGGAATCCCCAGGATTCCAGGACTTCCACCAGTTGGATAACCCTAGTTTGTTGTTATCCAGCTTAGTGCTGCAGTCTACATCACAGGGGGACAGTCAGATGTTAGGAAACAACCTGGACCTCATATGATCATTTCTATTCCTGACTATCATCTATGTATGAATAATCATATCCTACTGGATCAGTGCTAGATTGCAACACTGGAATAAAAGGCAGCAATGATGTACTAAGTTTACCTGCCCACATGCATGCCTATGGTCACTCTAATGAGATATCTATGAAATCATTGTAATATTGGGAGTTGGGTGCACCAACTGATAACACTCTACAGATAGTCATAGCGATCCTCCACTTCTGCCATTAGTCAGAAATGTCACATAGTGGCACATTATCATCAAAAGTAGCAGAGAGAGCAATAGTTTTATGCAAAGTATCTAAAGGTTATCTGCTGCAATTTTTAATAGAGCCATATAGTCACCTCAATCTGTCAAAATAACAGCTGTCCAATGATGGGCATTTAATGGTCACTCATTCCAGTATATGAGCCTGGAAGCTTGTGCTTCCACAAATCACAATGGAAAAGGCTTAGAATAGGCTCAACAGTAATCCCTTGCAGCCTCAGCTACTTGGCTCCTGGGATATATCAAGCCCTGGTCTACTGATACCTAAAGATGCTGTATATACATTATACAAGAGATACATAAGTACATTTAATATATAGGTTAAGACTAAATCTAGACGGCCCATTGTACATCAAAGCTAATACATACAGTAGGAAATGAACATATTGTACTTAGTGGGTTTGTATGTGTGGTCAATCTTTACACAGCTTTTTTTCTCCAGCACTAAAACATCTTACACCATAAAAGGAGAAGAACATGTTGAGAGTACAATTGACACAACAGACTTATCCAGTCTGTTTTTCTTCTACAAGTCTGGATCACTTCACTGTCAAAAGCCTAGTTTCTCTTGCAGTAAAAGTTATATATCTTAACTGCTACTGCGTGCTCAATGTGTACCACAGCAGGCGACTGCTATCACTACCTTACTCTTGATCCACAGCCTTAGATTCTGCTCAGAGGAAAGGATTGTGACAGCTCAGTTCCGTTTCTCAGCTGTAGAATGTAATAAAATCATTCCCTCAACTGTTACCGACAGGATGTACTTTTTTCACTTTACTTTTTGTTTTTCTTTGCCAGATTATATTGCTGTAGTGCTTGTATGTGCTTTAGAAATGTGCATAATGCTACTCATTTTAGTATGTTACTTCTATATTGTTGTTTATTTTTTGATCTTTTAATAAAGTATATAAAATTCTTGGTTAAACTGTGTTTCGTTTCTTGTGTCTGTCGTTATTAGACATATCACGGGTGTCCCTACACTTTTCATATCCTCAGGCAGGGGTGGGGTTGACAGTGGTGCACGTTCTGAGAAGGTAGGGGTGCTAATTCTGCACGATATAATCATTCAGGACAACTGCACCTTGGTTGTAAAATTCAGTATTGTGGAGCCTTCCCGGTGAGCAAGCAAGATTTTGTTATTGTTTGACTTTCAGCCTGTTGGTTCCCCCTGTTCATCCCACTCACTTGTTAGCCAGTTTGTTGTGTTTACTCAGGTGCATTGCATGGAATAGTACTTCCTGTGTACTTGGTCGTCCACTGGAGCCTCAATGGCCAATTAATCATAATGTAAGTGGCCACCATTTTGATTGATTTTTAGCAACAGAGCTCACTTAGACATTCCATTGCAAAATCTTACTTTACAGACAAAATAGGTAGAGCATTATTTTTCTGATTTAATACATGTGCTCAGAGCAGTAGCTAGCTCCTTATGCGCCTGAGGCAAGAACAGAAATTTGCCCCTGAGGTTATTTTGAGGAAAATAAAGGGGTTATTTAAGGGGAGATGGGGATAGAGCAGGGGTCATGGGGACAGAGCAAAAGGAGCAAAGGTTTTTTTTTTAAGGGGGTGATGGGGACAAAGCAGGGAGCAGGGATCATAGGAAGACTGGGACAGAGTAGGGTGAATGGGGTGATAGGGACAAAGCAGGGGGAGTAAAAGGGATTTGTAAGGGGTGATGGGGACAGGGCAAGGGACTTAGGTACAGAACATGGGGTGATAAGGATATAGCAGGGCATTAAAATGGATTTTTAAGGGCTTATGGGGACAGAGAATGAGGCATGGAGTGATAGGGACAGAGCAGAGGAGTAAAATGGGCTTTAAGGGGGTGGTGGGGACAGAGCATTGGGGCATGAGGTTATAGGGACAGAGAAGGAGAGAAAATAAGATGTTTAAGGGGTGATGGGCACAAAGCAGAGATCATTTGAAGATGGGGACAGAGCAAAGAAGTAAAAGGGATTTTTTTAAGGGGTGATGGGGATAGAGCAGGTTATGGCAAAAAATACTAATAATGTGTCAGCATTGACGTTCCTTTTGTGATCCAGATCAGTGCATTATCTTTGCCAAACATCATAAAATTCCCTGAATTTAAGTGCTAACTAGACGTACAGGATACCAATTGCTTACTTCATGAGGGGATAGAGCAGGTAGAAAATTCTCCCAATGACATATTTAGTTAATTCCCAAGTCTCCTTCATCCCCAAGTCTTCCTTGCCATCAATCGGCACTCTTTAGCTCCTCGTGTGGTGTATAGAGGGAGAGGGGTCATGTGATGGTCAAAGGTGTGATGCTTCATTGGCAGGTGCACAGGATTTTCAGCTGGCTTTAGGCAGCATTAGCTGACAGCCAATTGCTGGCTGAGAACTCCACGCGTCAGCCAATAAGTGAGGCACTCAGCACTGCAGCCGCCCTCAACTCCTCCCCTCCTGTGAACCAGCCAATACATAGCGGTGCTGCGACTTTTGTCTTGCGAGGGTTGTAAGGTAATTAAAAAAACGTACGATCTGCCTATCTTAGACAGGCAGATCGTACTTGCGATGATCGCAATGCGGAAAGGGCAGTGTGCGCTTGCGCACATCGGCCCATGCGGCATTTATCTTAAGAACATACCACTCACCCGCCGACAATCGGACGATTCTCGGCGGGTTTTCGAACATGTTCCTAAGATAAAAGTCGTGCAACTTTACAGTAGCAGAGGTTGCACACCTTCCACACACCTTACGATAATCGCACGATTGCGGGATTTCCCGCGATTATCGTATGATTATCACAAGGTGTGTGGGCACCTTTAGCCATGCTGGCAGTTAAAATTTCCTATAGCTGGTTCAAGTACAGCTGTGAAAACCTAAGCGTCTAACCCTCCCCCACCAAATCCAAAATTTAAAAAAGAAAAACCAGTTTTGTCTGAAATTAGGCTTTATGGGGTTCTTCCAAATGCAAATTGCTATTAGGGCCGAGTTGCACTTGTGCATTGTGGCAAAGGGCACTAAATCACTCACATTAACACACAATGTCACAGTGCATTGAAACGCACATGTTCTATGTCCATTGTGTTGTGGTGACATTCATTGTAGATGGCAACCCAAAACATTTTACCCTAGAGCACATTGCACCAGAGCGCACAGCAACGCATATATTGTGCTTTGTGGTGTGCTGTGTTTTAGAAAAAGGGTCATGTACTTTTTTCATCCGTTGTGGTGCTTTGGCGGCCCATTCATAATAAATGTCCAAAATGCATCGCCCATTAACGC